TGACTTCAAACAATGTTTTGCATTTACTGCTTTCATATTCTCATTCAATTTACAGTTTGATGTAGGCCTACTATCCACTTAAACAATACATGATGAAGTTTCAGGACATTTTATTTGACTTGTATGTACTATTTATGTAAATGCGTAACTTTGATGTGTTTTAACGGGCGCGCACGTTGAGCATTCACTCAGCTGACATGTAGAGAGTCCATATCTCTGCTTTTTTCACTGCTTGTAAGGTAAGTTTAGTCGCTAATATCACACAAATAATACATACAACCATTCCTGACACTTTCATACATGCAATTGACACGTTTCTGTTGAATCTTTACAGGAATGGATTAGTGTCTTCAAAAAGACCATTAGCATCACAACCGTTAACTAGCTATAGAGGCTAACTATTAGAGGTAAGCTAACTATAGATTTGAGCTCTTATTAATGAAAGTTTGAGCTTTTAATCACATTTTATGTGTAGATCAGCCGTTTTGATAGTTTGTAAATGTTTTGCTGGTACTTTGTCAATAGATAAATGGAAGTAATAAGCTAATTAATTTAAGCTAAAAGTCTGCACTGTGGGGTCAATCGGTGACGTCACATGAACTAATGGCTGAAGCTATTTCAAACACGTTTTGAACTTTTATTGCAAACAAATATTGATCAATTGTACTGTGATTTCAGGAGCATCAGAAAACCCTAAAACGGGAAGTTACAAGAAAATGTGTAATGGGAGCTGCTGACAGAGATACAGGAATCACAGGTGATCTGAGAAATCGTATTAAGTAACTTTATGCATTTTTCACAATATATTTCAACTATATCATCATGTATCTGTAAAACCTAAAAATTTGAATCCTGATATCTTAAGATTTTTTTGTATATTATTATTTCTCTTTTCTGCATTTCACCTCTGCTGTAGTTTGTTTATTTCTAATAAACCTGACATTGTATACTATATATTGCTGGCTCCGTGACAAATTGTTCCTATATTCTTCCATGCTGATGGCCGTGCTGCAGAGCTGGAGCGGATCTCCTGTCGAAGAACATTTCCAAAGCACTATGAACCATCTGACTAGTAAGTAAAATCTCAAACATTCAAAAGTTTATCAAATATTCAAATAAATATATCAAATATTTCCTGTATGTCCTACAAGGCCATCTTGTTTAACTCTGCACTGAGGACACTTCATACACAACAACCTACAGAAGGGTCCATCATAATTTGAAAAAACACACAGATGATAATAAAAAAAGGTCTTTGAAATTAAAAAAAAAAAATGTAAGACAGAACCAGAGTACTGTGAGCGTACCTCACTTCAAACTGTAACGGTCTGTATGTATATTATTTTATTATTTTCTGTGAAGTGTTTGTTCAAG